CTGTACCTCTGAAACAAATAATGCAATATATGTTAAGAAAAAAAAAAAAAAGAAGAAGAAGATAGCAGGAGGGGAAGAATGAAGGGGGGGGAGATCGGAGGGGGAGACGAACCATGAGGGATAATGGACTCTGAAAAACAAACTGAGGGTTCTAGAGGGGAGGGGCGTGGGAGGATGGGTTAGCCTGGTGATGGGTATTAAAGGGGGCACGTTCTGCATAGAGCACTGGGTGTTATGCACAATCAATCAATCATGGAACACTACATCAAAAACTAATGACGTAATGTATGGTGATTAACATAACAATAAAAAAATTTATAAAAAGCTCAATAAAAATAGTAAGAGAGACTGAAAAAGAAAAATGATGGAAAACAGGAGAAGGGGGAGCAACTAATGATTACTTCTACAGATAGATAAACAGACAGTGGCAGAGTCCAGCAGAATCCTGGATCTTAGGAAGGAAATGAAAGGTCAAGACACTCCATCTCACCCCTGGACAGGCCTCCATACAGACAGGCTTGCACACGTGGTTAGGACATTGGAGGCCTCCCCAAGTCACTCCAAATCTCAGGATAGTCATGACCAGAGGGGGGGAAATCTCCATTTATTGGGCCCTTGCCACATGCCAGACACTGTCCTAGGCGTTTTATAAATACTATCATGTTTCACCTCTGTGTGGCATCTACAAAGCTCAGAACATAGGTGTGGAAACCGTATAGGCACCTCAAGGAAAGTGTCCCTTCCCCCTGGCTCATGTTTGTGGTAGTATCTACTCTTCCTATAATCAAGTAATAAAATCATTTTTAAATCAAGACCACGGGGATTGTCTTTGGAGAAGGTAAAGAAGGGGAGGGCGGCACTGAATGATGAGCCACAAACTTTGTTCCTGGGGCCTCTGGGGGCTTCATTTCCAACCCAGGGATGGAGGATGAATCTTCCTAGCAGGTTCAAGTGAGCTGGAGAAAGCAAAGGATCTCTGAGGGTCTAGGCTCTTCTCCGTCAGAATACTTAGTAATAATAGCAACAACAGTAATAAGAATATCAATCATTTATCAAGCTCTTGCCAAGTATCAGGCACTATGACAAACAAATATATATATTGATTAATGTTTACAGTCACCCCTTGATTCAGGTACTCTTATTTTTCCCATTTTCCAGAGGAGAAAACAAAGGCTTGGAGAGATCAAGTGATATTCCCCAAAGCCACGTAGCTAGTAAACGACAGCTACAGGTTCAAACCTAGACCCATTTGCCTACAACACCTATGCATCCTTTCCTTTCACTTGCCTTCTCTTCCAGCCCCTGACAAATACCCACTAGGCATGTGATCTGATGAGCACTGGGTGTTAGACTCAACTAATGAATCATTGAACACTACATCAAAAACTAATGATGTGCTATATGTTGGCTAATTGAACTTAATTTTAAAAAATGAAAAAAAATACCCACTAGAATGTGTACATCCTGTGATATACTCCTCCTGGAATCCACTGGATGACACCAGAGTTTTATGTTCGGCCTAGTAGAGAAACACAGTCTCCTAATCAAATAGCAAAACTTTTTGTCTTTCTCAGTCTGGATTTATCTATGTTTAAGGGAGCATCATTTAACTGACAGCTTCCAAAAATTTAAAATCGAGCAGATTGTTCATTTTGACACTTTATCATTTTTTATCATGTCCCCTTCCTCCGTGCCCAGCTCATAGGCTCAGGAATGACTGATGATGGGAACCTGTATCTTTAGGGGAAATGTATGACCTACCCAAAGTATACCATCTGACTGTCCTCCCTCCACTCCGTCCCCTTCTCCAGACAGCTTGTATAAAGTAATCATAATATTTAGCCAGTCCTTTTCACAAAGATCGGCTTCCTGTGACTATAATGAAATCATTGAATATGGTCTTTTTCAGGATGAGATAAAGATAGACCACCTCATCTTTCCTATCCTTATCTAGCAAAAGCCTGTAAGATACCCCAGTAACCCTGAGAACCAAGAAGTAAGGGTTACCAAGTCCCAGTGGTCCAGTATGGGATGTGTACAACTTCCCTGGGCAATCATTAGCTCTAGGGGGATCCCCAGCCTAACCAATTTGTGTGTGTGTTGGTGGCATAAGGTGTCCTAGGCTTGCTGCCATTATTTTTATATGGAAGGAGGAACTTAGCCTGGGAAGGTACACTCAGTATTATTTCAACATCAGGTTCAAGTTCTGAAGTGATAAAAGGAGGATTATTTTAACACATGCATAAATGGTTTGCACTTCATCTGAAGAGTAACAGTGCATTTCTAAATGATTACTTTAGTAGCTGAAAGGTGAATACACTAGAGGAGAATTTGAGAAATTCTTTTTCCTTTTTTTTTTTTAAAGATTTTATTTATTTATTTGACAGAGAGAGACACAGCGAGAGAGGGAACACAGGCAGGGGGAGAGGGAGGGGGAGAAGCAGGCCTCCCGCCGAGCAGGGAGCCCGATGTGGGGCTCGACCCCAGGACCCTGGGATCATGACCTGAGCCGAAGGCAGACGCTTAACGACTGAGCCACCCAGGTGCCCCTCTTTTTCCTTTTAATATTTATTTATTTATGTAATCTTTATACCCAACATGGGACTTGAACTCATTCCCCCGAGATCAAGAGTCACATGCTCTTCTGACTAAGCCAGCCAAGTGCCCCAAATTTGAGAAATTCCTAGAAGAAGAAATTCTGCTTCTTAGAACTTTGTGACTTAGTGAGTAAATAAGGCAGGTGGGGTTAAGGGAAAAGAGGCACTTAAGGATGATGTCTAGGTTTTTTATTAGTTACCCTGGGTAGGTGATTATAACACTTTCTGAGAGAAACAGGTTTGAGGTGGGAATATTGAATTCAGTTGTGGTCATGTTAATATAGGTCATAACAAGGCCAGCATATATTTAGTAATCAGTTGGGTATTTAAGTTTGGACTCAGGGGAGAGGTCATGATTTAAATGTGGTTTTGGAACTTATCCAGAGAAAGAGAGAGAGAATGAGATTGCAAGCTCATAGGAAACGAGAAGAACTATTCGCTGAAGATAAGTCCTTGGAGGACAAGGATATCTAAAGAGAAGAAAGAGGAAGAGGATCCTGTGGACAATATTGAGATAGAAGACTCAGAAAAGGCAAGGTGTGATAACAGAAAGAAGAGAGCAATTAAAGAGTTCATTAACATTGCCCAGAATGGCCAAGGGTCAGAACTGGAAGCAAGAACATTAGAAAACTTACTTCCAGAAAAAAACCCCAAACAAAACAACAGTTTGAATGAGTAAATAAGGGGAGAAAAATTAGCTATGGGTTATGACATATAGAAAAGATGGTGACAGCTAAAGTAGTCTACTCTGTCCAATAACCATTAATTGGAAGAGGAAGGAACAGAAGAAAATACATAATCAAGGAAGCAACTTTTGGAGGAGGGAGGCACTTGAACAAGTGTGGTGAACATTGCTTTTCTCCTGTTGTTATGGCCTGAATTGTGTCCCCCCAATTTCATATGTTGAAACCCTAACCCCCAGTACCTCAGAATGTGACTGTATTTGGAGATAAGGTGTTCAAAGAGGCAATTAAGTTAAAATGAGGTTATTAGAGTGGGCCTCATCCAACCTGACCGGCATGCTTAAAAGAAGAGCAGATTAGGACCCACAGAAAGATACCAGGGGTGCATTGCACAGACGGATGACCATGTGAAGAGGTAGCAAAGAGGATGGTTATCTGCAAGCCAAGAGGAAACCAACCCTGCCAGCATCATGATCTTGGACTTCCAGCCTCCAGAATTGTGAGAAAATAAATGTCTGTTGTCTAAACCACCCAGTGTGTGGTGTTTTGTTACAGCAGCCCTAGCGGACTAATACACCTACTCAGTGGCCTTCCCCACAGTCACCTCTACACCACCTTGTTCCTTGCTAAAGGAACTCTGATTTTGTCCAGAACCAGAGTGAGCTCACCCTTCCCATTGAGTCAATTAGAAATTCTCAGTTTGTGACTTCTAGGTCCTCTGCTCCTGTGTGGTAGAGTAGATTTGTTTTCTAGCAAATATTTGCTCTCTACTCACCCCCTACCCCATACACATCCTCCTACAGGGAGGAATATGGCTCTCTGCTCCTTGCTGTTGAGCTTCGTCTGTGGCTTGTTTTGGCCAATAGAATGTTTTGTGTGTGTGTGTGTGTTTTTTTTTAAAGATTTTATTTATTTATTTGAGAGAGAGAGAATGAGAGAGAGCACATGAGAGGGGGGAGGGTCAGAGGGAGAAGCAGACTCC